TTGGCGTTCCATAACTACAAAGAATGTAATAAAAGATGCAAACTAGTAATTCGGGCAGCTAAAATAGAGTGTGAAAAGCATATCGCCACAGTTGGTAAAAAAAATAAAAAAATTCTACCAATACATAAACAGTAAAATGGTGAGAAAGGAGCAGATAGGCCCAAATAAAGGACGAAAATGGGAAGTTAGTCACAAATGACAAGTCGAGGGCCGAGGCGCTGAATACTTTTTTCTCCTCAGTATACACTCAGGAAAAAGACGGGTTTAATGTACATGATAAAACACATAGTTCAACACAAAATATACCACAGTGGTTGACGGAAACCAGGATACAACAAAGACTTAAACTACTGAATGCAAATAAAGCAGTGGGACCAGATAACCTGCACCCCAAGGTACTTAAGGAACTAAGTGAGGTTATAACTAGACCATTATTCCTCATTTTGAAGGACTCTTTAATGACGGGTAGAGTTCCAAGTGACTGGAGGAGGGCTACGGTGGTCCCTATTTTTAAAAAGGGGGCAAGATGCCAACCTGGGAACTATAGACCAGTTAGTCTTACATCAGTAGTTTGCAAACTGTTAGAGGGCATGATTAAGGACTATTTGGTAGAATTTGTTCAGAATAATGGCATAATAAATGATAATCAACATGGGTTCAGGAAAGACCGTTCCTGCCAGACTAACTTGCTAACTTTTTATGAAGGGGTAAGTAGAGATCTGGATGGAGGGAGGCCGGTGGATGTGGTTTATCTGGATTTCTCAACGGCTTTTGATATGGTACCACATAAGCGCTTACTACACAAGCTGAGATCGATGGGCATAGATGGAATGTAGTGTACATGGATAGAGAACTGGCTACAGGAACCGTGTCCAGAGAGTATCGGTTAATGGCATCTTTTCAGACTGGGCTAGTGTCATGAGCGGTGTGCCTCAGGGTTCTGTGCTGGGACCCATGCTGTTCACCCTCATTATTAACGACATCGGGGAAGGTGTGAATAGCAATGTTTCAGTGTTTGCTGATGATACCAAAATTGGGAGGGTAATAGAAACGGACCTAGACAGTATAACATTACAGGAGGATCTGGATAAAATAGGTGAGTGGGCAAATATATGGCAGATAAGGTTTAATGTCGATAAATGCAAAGTAATGCACTTTGGTATTAAAAATAAGCTAATGGGCTACACAATTATTGGTATGCCACTAGGAAAGTCAGAAAGAGAAAAAGATTTGGGGGTCATTGTAGACCACAGATTGAAGAATAACTTGCAGTGCCAGGCTGCTGTAAGCAAAGCAAGTAGAGCCTTGTCCTGCATTAAGAAGGGGATTTATTGTAGAGGCAAGTCTATAATTATAGGTTAATAACAGAGGTTTGGATACACGTCTTCTGCAGAAAATGTGAAAGCTGCACAGCCGCGCCAAGGCACCTCTTATAGTGCGGTCCTAACTCTAAACTATGAGAGACGAATTGTTGAGTGCGTTTGTTATTTGTTTTGCTTGACCGATTTGGTGCAGTGACGCATGGGGGTTCTCAGCTGCCATTGGGATGTGCGGGATCCCTTGTGTGTTCCTGTGCCTTTAAGGAGGTTGGGCTTCCTCCTGACAAACTTGCACCCAATTTGAAATCTTCTGCCCCCATGTGCTCCAAGATGGAGACTCTCATAGTTTAGGGTTAGGACCACTATAAGAGGTGCCTTGGCGCGGCTGTGCAGCTTTCACATTTTCTGCAGAAGACGTGTATCCAAACCTCTGTTGTTAACCTTAGTGGTGAGACAAGTTGTTTTACATACTGGTTTGTGAGTGTGCCATGATACCTTTCTACTGTTTTGAAGTATATAATTATGCCACTTTATAGTTCACTGGTTCGGCCTCATCTGGAGTATGCGGTCCAGTTTTGGTCACCATTCCACAGAAAGGATGTCCTGGAGCTGGAAAGAGTCCAGCGGAGGGCAACCAAACTAATTAGGGGAATGGAGAACCAGAGCTTTGAGATTCGACTACTAAATGTAAACATGTTCACGTTGGAAGTAAGGAGATTAAGGGGGGACATGATTTTCATGTATACAATATTCAATGGCGACAGCAACATTAGCAACAAACTTTTTACGATTAACTCCATAACAAAGACTAGAGGCCACCACCTAAAATTGGTGGAAAAAAAATTCCAGCACAAGGGACGAAGGGGGTACTTCACAGTGAGAGCGGTTAGGGTCTGGAACTCGCTGCCAGAGGCAGTGATTTCGGCTAAGAGTGTGGAAACATTCATGAAGCATTTGGATGATTTCCTGAGAGACCGTAATATACAGGGGTACAGGTACTCTTAAGAATGAGATGATACATGGACCTAAAAAATAGGTTGGACTTGATGGACTTATGTCTTTATTCAACCTCAAATACTATGTCATACAGTTCATACAATCGCTCTCGCTCACTATAGAGCATATATTGTAGAACTGAAACCTGAACCACCATATTCCCATAACCCAAGTGACAGAATTGGTCATATTAAGGGTAAAAAGAAATACTGGCTAGTCCAATCTCCGCAGTTTCCGCAGTCTCCAAGCTTCTTAGATCCAGATCTGAGAAGAGACTTTCACTGTTGCGTTACAGTAGTGAACTATCCGGTGTTCGGCTCAGCTGATCCAGATGTTGGATCGGCTGAGTCGAGCGGCTTCTTCACCTCAGCTCAGCCGAACATGCTGAGAATGTTCAGCTAAATCGAAGGGAGCTGATGCACAGCTGATTTTAGCTGATGTACGGCTGAAATCAGCCCCACAGGACAGAAGTGAATAGTCAACTAAAATCTAATGGGTTTATTTAAAGTCTAATGCATTATTTAAGCAATTCTCTAGAATTTCCAAACTCGTTCTCTAGAATTTCCGAGCTCTGAGGTAATCGGAAGTCCAAATAGGTAAATGCAATAGTCCCCCCCATTTTCGTCTCATTTTTGTTAGTTGATGAAAATTGCAATGTATTTTCATCATAGTTTTAGTCCTATTAGCTAAGTTTTTTTTTAGTTTTCATTTGGTTTTCGTCACTAAAAACATGCAACTGACGAAAACTATAATGAACATTTTTCATCTACGAAATTAACACTGGTATACATGCCCTGGCTGCATTTGATAAAGTTGAAGTTTTATAACTTTTAACGGTAGGTCACTTAAATGGATTGTGATACGAAGGATAATTTCTTCCAAAACGTTAATTCTGCTCACACTCCCACAAAACTTGTAACATGGTACCTATCACAGTGCCACAAAACCAACAAGTGTCTGGGATTGTTTTGTTAAACTTATGCAGTGTAGGAGGCACCCAGTGCCAGAGAGGTGTTGTTTTGTAACCTTGCTCTTGCAATTTATTAGCTATAGGAGATTAGCATGGGAAAATAGTATGATACTGACACACTGTTCCAGGGTAAATTAAGTGGTTAGCTTGAACTCCCATGTCCTTCTAAAAAGGGGAATGTAGCCTTTTAGAAGGATATTGAGGTACCGTAGTTGTATATCATGGAGAGGGAATGCCTAAAACGTGCCTACAAGTTTCAATGCAGGAAGGCTTTGTACAAATCCATAACATAGAACAAGCAAAGTATTTGTTCGTCCAAGCAACTAACTAAGCCCCAAAACAAACAGGCAACACATATATGAACATGTTGTGAAGTTCCAGCTAAAAGCAATGGTCCCATGGGGTCCGTTTCTGGTACAACAGATGGTGCACAAGGCAATATTAATTATTCATATTATGGTGGGAGAGGGAAAGGGAAAAGGAATGGCCAGGGGGAGATGCAGCTGGATGAGGAGGCCCAAACCTTTCAGAATTTAAGCATGGAGCCTTGTAATTTGGCCTTCAGCTTTTCATTAATAAGGAGCCATTGTATATTATTCTTGACTTCAGAGACACGCAGACCTCCTGATAACCAGGATGAATTGGTGCATAAACATGTTCTAGGGTTTTAGATTGAGCAATGCTTTGCATGGATTCATGGGAGGTGGGTTTTGAAGAAGAGTATGCAGAATATTGTAGTCCTGAGACCAGAACCTCTGAATGACTGGGCACTTCCAATCATAAAGGAATGTTGACCGTACTAATTGCATAGATAGTTGAGGGGGAGCTAAGCTGCCAACTTGAACCACCTCAGAACTTCTGCTGTGAACTTTGAGGATGAATTGTTTCAAAATGCCTGCTGATGCAAAGGTCAGTGTTTCAAAGTTTATTCATTACTTCTTAGGAACATATAAATGTCCATAGCTTAGCCATAGGTTCACTGTAGATAAAAATCCAAGCTGTAAGGCCAACAATAGTAGTCCAGTTTGCCAAATCTGTCATTCTCTAAAATTAAACATACAAAAAAAACCCATGCAACAGGAAAGTAGGCTATGGATGTGTGACTGATATCTCCTGCTCTCTAGCTCTCTTGTGACCTCCTGCCATGCCCGCCTCCAGGACTTCTCCATAGTGTCTCCCATCCCCTGGAACTCCCTACCCCAATCTGTCCGCTTATCTGCTTCTCTGTCCATCTTTTGGCGATCCTTGAAAACTCATCTCTTCAAGGAAGCCTATCCCACTTCAACATAATTGTCCTTTTACTTATCCCACTAACTCAGTCTAAACAATTATTACCTTTTGTATCTCTCGCCCCCTACTAAATTGTAGGCTCTTGCGAGCAGGGCCCTTCTAATCGTATTGTATTGAAATTGTATTGTACTGTCTCCCCATTTTGTAAAGCACTGCGCAAACTGTTGGCGCTATATAAATCCTGTGTAAAAATAATAATACATGTTGTAGGTATAATGCAGATGCATGTAGTTATATATAAAACTAATATAATAACTGTAATGGATGATTTTCTATTTTTTTTAATTTTTTTTTAGATGGCTCCAATACAACCGGAATCTGTAAATTGTTCCATTATTCCACAACCTAGAGGGAACCGAGTTGTTAAAGCCATCTGTATTTTTATTTTTGTATGCCTTATTATTCTGTATCTTAATGGAGTTCACAAATATACAAGTAGTCAGTTTGCCTATGGTATGGCAATGCATTTAATTATCTCTCAAGCATGGCAGTTTGTTGCCAGTCTCTGTGAATTTTCTGAAGAAATCACTCACTTGCATAGCAGGTAGGTAAAATAAATGGTCTAATAGTTAACTGTTTTTACTTTTCAGATCGGAAACCAACATTAGGGTTTTTTTTGCACATTACTGTAATCACCAAATGCCACATTCCAAATCATTGACCAGATTCAAACTGCACCATTATTAGTAATGTACAAATTTATTTAAATTATTACATATGTAAGTCAATGCAGGAACAAGGTCCTCTGACACTCAAGGCAAAATCTCCCACCCCCAAGCTCAAACCAATGGAGTTTGCATTTCCATGGGGCCAGCCATCCAGAGTCTCCCCTTTCATCAGAATCACCAGAGTCCAGGGGCGGACTGACCCATCGGGCAGTCGGGCACGGCCCGAGGGCCTGCGACCACCATGGGGCCATCAGGGCCAGCCTTAAGGGTGTGCGAGCTGTGCGGCCGCACAGGTCGCCATGGCAACAAGGGCGCCGTGCGACCGACACAGCTCGTCCTTCTCTCCCCGTCACAGCTGAGCTGGCCATCCGATATGACAGCGCTCCCTCGTCCGCCCCCCCCCTAAAGTGGGGGCGCAGGAGGGAGCGCTGCTTGCTGTCAGGATGGCCGAGCGGTGAGGATATCGGAGCCGCTGTCATGTGCTACAAAATGTTGGTACAAATTTAATTCAGGATGACAGCGCCTCTCTGCGTGGCAGAGCGGGGAATAGGTAAATATCAATTATATTTACCGGTCCTCCGCGTGAGAAGGACAAACACTGGAGCGATCGTCTGAACGAAAACTAAAAAAGTTTTCATTTGTTTCATCAAACAAAACACATTTTTATGCTACTTTGGATTCAGCCATTGGCGTGTTCTGGAGGCAGGGCGCATGACGTCATATAACACCACACGTGTTGGGCGCCACCATCTTGGTGTATATCTAGGTGTACACCAAGATGGTGGGGCCAATATCGGTGTGTGACGTCACCTGACGCCACGCATGCATGGCGTTTTGTAACGCCATCCTCCCTGCCTCCAAGATGGTGGCACGCATTCACAGAACACGCCGGTGGCCAACATGGCCGCTGCACATTCTCAACAAATTATTATTATTATGTGCCTGAATACATTTTTCGTATATTCGGACATATAGTAATTCATTAATTTTACATGTAGTCCGGGTTTTGTCTTCTGTTTTTTATTTTTACTTTTCTAGATATACTGACTTGAAAAAAGGGTCGGCATGATATCCTGACACTTTATTTGTATAGACTCTATTTTAGTTTGACCTTTATTGTTTACCTTCTGTTGTTTTATTTGATAAGAATACTTATATTGTGCCGACAAGTTTAATACCTTTGAATAAAAGTTTTATTTTTATCATACTTTTTAATATGTTTCTTTGCGGCTTAACAAAATAGGAGTCTTTAAATGGTGCGGATATCGGGGGAAATGGGTGCGGTCACGCGGAGGGGGTGGCCACTAAAGGGTGTGGCCACTGAGGCCTGTGGTCACTGAGGGGCGCTGTAAAGCTATCTCGCACAGGGCGCCTAAAGGCCTAAGGCCGGCCCTGTGGCCCGTGACCAGGCCTGCCGATAGGGGTGTACAGGCAGCTGCCCTGTACCAGGCGGGCCCCATCAAGTGAGCGTGTGAGCGGGGACCGAACCCAGCACGGGCTAGGGGAGTCTGCCTCCACACATCCTGTCAGTGCCGATACTAGGGGGGCATATAATATTATTCAGCCAGGGTGGCCGATACCCCTCTCCCTCTGCAGGCACTGCCAGGGCACCTGAGGGCGCTGGGGAAGGGGGGCCTAGAAGGTCGGGCAGAGATTCAGCCAGGAGTGAGACGATACGATGACAACCTGTCAGCAGGTATGAGGAGCTCTCCTGCACTCACAGCTTCTCCTATACACTATACATTCCGTCTGGGAGCAGCGTGGGGAGGGGGAGGGGGGATTCTTCTCCCTGTCTCAGCCTTCTCCTCTCTTCCTCCCCTGGCTTCTTGAACTATGAGCGGGCTGCATAGTAATGCTGTGTGTGTGTGTGTCCTGTATTGTGTGTACTGTATTGCGTGTGTATTGTGTGTACTGTATTGCGTGTGTATTCTGTGTGTATTGCGTGTGTATTGTGTGTACTGTATGTGTATTGTGTGTGTGCTGTGTGTGTATTATGTGTTGTGTGTTGTGTGTGTATGCGTATTAAGTGTTGTGTGTGTGTATTAGGCCTCATTCACACTGGGAGCACACGTCCATGCAGCGTGCACACCTGTAAACAGTTGATCCCGGGAGGGAGAGGTGCTGCGTGTCATTGCGCGCAGCAGCCTGTTCTCCTCTATGGGAAGACAGGGCTGGACGGTGTCAGTACAAAAACAGTACTGAGAACAAGCAGACACTACAAGAGGTTAGAAGAGAAGGGGTTCAATCTCAAAACAAGTAAGGGTTTTTTTTACTGTGCGAGTAGTAAAAATGTGGAATTCCCTTCCACAGACAGTGCTATCCACTGATAGCGTAGAGAAGTTCAAGTAACTGCTAGCTGAGTTCTTCAGTCACTAAATACACAAGGATATGGGAAGTGTTAAATACACATAAATACATACACACAGACACACACAGGTTGAACTGGATGGACCTTGGTCTTTATTTAACCTTACCTACTATATTACTATGTTACTATGTATACAAAACTATAAGAAAAAAAGTTTTCAGTTGGACATAATCTTTAGGCTTTTCTGAAATAGCTGATTATATAAATTAGGAGGGTTACCCCTGTTAAGCAGTAGAAGTCCATAGCCCTAAAATAGTTACTCTAATTTGCAGATGTAGTGGTAATGGGAGATGAGAGTTAAAATGGTAAATGGGAGAAGAGTTAACTCAGGAGTCAATGCAGAATTCAGGTATGTTTCAACGGTCAGTGATGATACTTGGTTGCATATTTCAAGCTCTATAGCATGGGTGGAGGGATAGGCACACTAATAGTAAATTGCGGTACAGGAAAAGTGGGAAATGTAGGTGTACTATGTTTTTACTTTTTTACCTTTTTACTTCAATTACATTTTAAAGTGCTGGAATTTATAGAAACCTTAAGAGTGTTTGAATGTTTGTTAATGTAATTTGTAGAGATAATATTTAAGCATCTTTTTTTTTTCTTAAAGGTATAATGGAGAATACCTGAGAGCATTTAAAGCAAGCTTCTGTATGAGGCACGTGTCTATTTTCATTTTAACCTGCACTATTTGCTATATCTTTTATGATGAAGATCTGTTGCCAAGATTCTCCTGCGTGATTAACTTGACTCTGCTGTTCCTTTGTAATTTGTTGGGCTGGCTTTGTGGGCTCCAGGTATGGCAAGTAATACATTTGTTTTCAAAAACTGAGTTTTGTAGTATACAATTATGGTTTAATTATTATTTTACAGCTATGTAATAATGAATCTTGTGATATGCATATCTACACATTATCATGTTTGACTCTTTTGTAACCAGAGGTCATTGATGCCTAGATACAAGGCCAAATTTAGCAGCCTTAAGGTGCCCATACACTGCTCGATTCTCGTACGAGAATCGCGGGAAATCCCGCGATCGTATGAAAATAGAGCAGTGTGAACGAGGAGCACGCTAGAAAACCGTACGATTTTCGGCTGGTTTGAACGTTGCTCGGGAGACAAATGCCGAGCGGGCCGGTGTGCGCACGTGCACACTGCCCGTTCAGCATTGCGGTCATCGAAAGCCCGCCCCTCAGGGGGGGGCTTGCGATGATCGAGAGTACGATCTGCCTGTCCAAGATGGGCAGATCGTACGTTTTTTTAATCACTTTACAACCATCGCAAGACTAAGGTCTTGCGATGGTTGTACAGTGTATGGCCACCTTTAGCGTGCATTTGTTAACTTGACAATAACTTTATGATTAATTTGCACACCTGAGGGCCCATACACACCAATTGCGGTGCGTTCCAGAGCTGTAGCTGCTGGAATACACAGCAATCGCTCACAAAACTTCCTCCTTCGTTCTGGGGCGGGAGGGGGCGTGACGGTGCGTTGAAGTCAATGGCAGCGCAGCCACCCCCCCACCCGCAGTGCAATCGAATGCATGGCAAAACATTGGCTGTGCTCCAGTCCACTGCGAACGCAAACAATGGAGCATGCAGCATTTTTTTGCGTTTGCAGTGGACCGGAAAGTTTTGTGAGCAATTGCTGTGCGTTCCAGCAGCTGCCGCTTACAAATATGTAAAAAAGAAATTAAATGTTTTCTTTTTTATAGTTTTTTTATTTTGTTTAATACTCACAGGTGTCAGTGTTCATCTGCAGGCTGAAGCCTACTATTGTTTTAAATTAAGCCTCCAGTCAGCATGTGATCACAGCCGTCATAGTGATCAAACATTCTTGATTGACCATGATTAGTTAGTGATTATTAGCGGGGACACAAGCTGTCAGGACAACCAAGATTTATAAATAACCAGCCGTGCAAAGTGATGACTGCAGGTTTTAAAGAGGGGCATTCATAAACATACAACTTGTGGATGGGAAATGGTTAAAATATTTAATAATCTAATATGACTCATCCAATGAGCAAAGTAATCACTTGTTACTCATGCCTGACCTATATCCTTTAATTCTTAGCTTACGTGGACCTTATGACATTTTGTTTCAGGGCCCATTCACACTGTTGCATTTTGGTAAAGCACATGTTACCACAATGTGCGGCAATGCATGTTACATGCATAGGTATGATGCAGTGCAATTCAGAATGAATGTCATCCCAAAGCACCTTGCCAACATACATGCATTGCAGCACACATTGTGTGCTACCAGAAATGCTGCATGCTCCTTTCTTGATTTATTTTGGTGCATTAGGCAGTCCATTAAAGTGAAATCCTCCAGTGTCCTTAGATTAGTTGTGTGGCCCAGGTGAGGGACAGATAGGCAGAATGGGACTGACATTGATATTGTTTGTGTCTCTCAAGCATCCAGGATCGGGCAGAGATCTGTTGCAGAGGTTATTGTTAGAAGAGTCCTGAAAGCTCTTAAAGGAGAACTATGGGGTCAGTGTTTTTCCCCATAGTTCTCCTTGGGGTAACGGGAGGACACAAACTAGCGTCCTCCCATTACCCTAAGCTCAGTATACCGCGAGCTACAGCTCGCGGTATACTGAGACGCCGCACCTGGAGCGGATCCCGACTTAGATGACGGCATCCGCCCAGCTGCGTAAGTGACAGCTGGCTCTGCCTATCTAGAGGCAGAGCCAGCTGTACCAGCCCCCTCCCCCGTCTGTTCCGCCAGTCAGCGCTGGCAGATCGGAGCGGGGAGAGGGGAATCCAGCCCCTCCCCCTGTCACGGCAGAGAGCCGTGACAGGATCGAGAGGTGAGGGAACCCGGTATGTGTTCGCTCACCTCCCGATCTACTGAGCCGACCTGTGACAGTCTCATTGTCACAGGTCGGCTTAGAACTATAAGGTGAGTGGAAATCACTCATGTCATAGTTCTCCTTTAATTTCTGTGCTATTAAAGGTGATGAGGGCTTGCCCATAGGCCTTTTGTATAATCTGCTCCATAACTTGATAGCTGGCAAATTAGCAGATATTCTGGAGCGGATCTGTGTCTCTCCAACATAGCCCCAGTCCCCAATATGGAAAGTGCTCTTTTCATATTGATGGGCAATTCCTCTGGGTAATCAAGTAGGTTGGTAAATATAGATTGTAGAGCTAGTCGGATTTGGTCCAGCTCCACTGTCTCAGGTTGCCCAAAGTTCTTAAGATGCCTTTGTATTAGCAGCAGGTGGTTATTATTTGATGTTGAGGTAGTTTGCAGTTTGTAGATTTGTTGGTTCTGGCCATTTTCCAGCTCTCTCTACTTTCTGTGGTCTCATGGCTATGGCACAGAGATTTTCCCACAGGTCTAACACTGCTACAGCAAGCGTGCTTGATATTCATGGCCATTGATTGCAGGTCTGCCATGCAGTGCATTTCCCTCATGTATGAGTGGACCATTTAAGGATTTCCTGTGCCTGAGTCACTGGTTTGATGGCTGTCCTGGAAGATGGCCGGCAATGAGGCCTAAATGTGGGCCATCTTGGTATGTTCCTGGGACTGTGATTGTAACAGGCATGTGCACAGGCTTGTTTGATAGAATTGCATAACCAATTTTTAACAAAAACGATTTTTCCCCGAAAAAGGGGATCCCACCACTGTTTCAACATTTTTGACCATACACTTTATATTAGTCGTAGAAAATGATTTATTAAATATATATTTAAAATTGCACATATATAAAAAAATCCATATAAAAAAACATCAACAAACATATAAGTGGCTGCATACGGCTGATAAATAAGAAAAGATGCGTGTGGATAAACATTGGTTAGAGGGCACACCCTGAAAAACTCCGCTTTATGAAGATATTTGGATTGGATTCCCAAAGATTGGAAAGCAGATGCCAGATCTCGTCATACACGTGTATGGAAAAATGCAAAAAGAAACAGTCAACATGAAAAAAAATATATCTATATCATATGTGTAGAAAAAATGGATGGATTTCACTCACAGTACTGTGTATGTTCGCCCATAGAACAAAGTAGGAGGATCGGAGTGGTTTTACCGTATTTCCCCCTTTATCTGCTGGTTTCAAGATAATTTCTTTATTATGTTGGAGATCTTTTAATGCTTTTCTTTGGTTACATGTTAAGTTATAATTTTTAACTTTTTGGGGTAACTTATCTGTAATATCTTCGCTTACCCTTTTTACGAAGTTCCAGATGTTAATGTTTTGTGATAAAGGGGGAAAGGTAGTTGATTTAGATTTAAATTTCAATTTGGAGACTCTAGGGGGTATATGTCCCTCCTTAGACTCTTCTTCTTCCTCTGAGATATGTCCCTCAGACCACAGATCTTGGAGGTCTCGCAAAGCTTGGTATTCCTTCCTCGAGAAGTCCTTCCAATCCTTTATGATCCTTATCTTCATAAAGTGGAGTTTTTCAGGGTGTGCCTCTAACCAGTGTTTATCCACACGCATCTTTTCTTATTTATCAGCCGTATGCAGCCACTTATATGTTTGTTGATGTTTTTTGATATGGATTTTTTGATATATGTGCAATTTTAAATATACATTTAATACATAATTTTCTACGACTAATATAAAGTGTATGGTCAAAAATTTTGAAACAGTGGTGGGATCCCCTTTTTCGGGGAAAAATTGTTTTTGTTAACAAATTAATAGGGGACCCTCCATTATAAACAAATCAAAGCTTTATTGTTAATTTATATATATTTCAAACCTTCCCACCCTGCAGTATGCATAACCAATTTTTCCAATTTTTAAGTTAAGATTAGCGGTTACAGTTGCAAACGTTCTTTCATAGCTCAGGAGCTTGTTTACTATATGGCCATTACTGACACCCACCAAACCGCACCCTTTGTTATTACATTTTAAATATCTACTATATCTATTGTATGCTATATGTTTAAATAAGCAATTCATTCAAAAATAATTTCTTTAAAATAAAAAGCCACCCTAAAACATAAGCCTCTTCTGTTCTGTAGACTCCACTAGGCTGAGGTTAAATAAACAATCAAGTTTAAGGTCTGCTGTCTAGAATGTATTAATAAAAGACTCCCTTAAATTTTAAAAAAATGTAATTAAAAGGTGTAGGGCAGATATACCAATTACCTGTACTGTAACATTTGTATTTATGTACTGTACAATGTGCCTAATTTTAAATTAATTTGATTTACCTGAATGAATTTCTTGTGTGTGACATAATATTTAAATTAGATGAAAAACTCAACAAGCCTCCAGCACTTTGGAAAGCTTATTTGCTCTATAACCAGCTGATCGTTCTTCTCTCTTGAAACAGGAAGGGCTCTTATTCCACCTATCCCTTCCCTCCCTTAATGTCTTTAGCCAAAGCAGTGTGTCATTTATGAGAATGTTTAACTTGCTGATAGAGCAGATAATGCATATAGGGTTTTTAAGGCTATATAAGCACTGAACATTTTTTTTCCCCCAAGGGACCAACACCTGCAACTATTTCTGAAATTACAGAAAAAAGACACCTGAATGTTGCTCATGGGCTTGCATGGTCTTATTACGTTGGCTACCTCAAATTTGTTCTTCCAGGTAGGAAAACAATTTTATAAATGGGCAGTGACTACTGTAACTGCTCTAAAACACCTCTTTATATTTTTGACTGAAACATTTTGGCCTGCCATTTTCTATTTGTAATACTCGAACCAGAAAATATAGGAAAATTGTGTACATATTGGTGTCCTTGCTTTTTTCAACTATGAATATTGTTTTCAAAATGAAAATAAATACCTGTCCAAAAGTCCTCGTAAGTCCTACTGTCTTTTTTGTGTATGTTTCTATCGTAATTCTAGGAGGTTAGGTTGTAGGATAGTTGCATTTGTTTGGCACTAGGATTCTGAGAAACTAGTTTTAACTCTTTTACCTGTACATGAATGCCTCAGTGATGTTAGTTTATCTCACATTAAATTGTGCCTTAGCCTAACCTCTTCAAGCTGTCATAATATCATGCAAATAGAATAAGGGCACCACTTATTAAAAAGGACACTTCAGAACACACAAGTATTCTAAAACATTCAAAGAGGACAAAGGGAATGTTGTACCACTACCCTACTATCTTCCTTTATAACATTTTGTTGATTATTTAATCTGCTCCCCCATGGGGGACAGTTATAGTTTCTTACACATGTCGAATGTGCATGTGTTGGAAATCACAGAAACCCTACCAGTCTACTTTTCCATTTGCCTCTAGCCATGCCTTGTATTTAAACCTTCAGACTTCAGTGGTCAGACCATAAGAATCCAATTTATGCCCATTTGCAACACAGACATTTCTTATTGATCAAAGACTGGTAAATGAAAAGTGTTAATTTGAGGCCCTTTTTTTAGACATGCACAGTAACAGCACATATGCTGTTATACAGTTTTAAGAAGGGTGGTTATAGCCATAAACCGTTGCTGTTAATAGACAAGTTAATTTGAAGTCAATACATTTCTTATCAGGTGTTGTAACCCACTGTGATTTACTCTGTATACTGTATTGAGGCTAATTTATCAAAATCTTAATTTAAAATAATTGTGTAAATATTTAATCCCGTGAAAAACAAATCCCTGTTCTTTGACATTCTCCTCTCTTGGTATCCAGTCTCCTATCTGGGGTGCAGACTCTGGTGCTTCTGGGTTTCTCCCAGACAGCTCTCCTGATCACCATTGGGGCTAATCAGGAGACAGGTTCCCTGATTGGCATCACCTTTATATTGCAAAGTGACAGGTCATCCGTTATTCAAGCAACACGTCATTACTCATTAGCTGAGCCCTGCCTACTGCAGAATATCCCTGCCTTCTGTGTCCTCCTTGCTTGCCTCCAGTCTCTGAATAGTCTGTGCACTCTCAGTCCCCGTGTCATCTAATGAGTCCAAGTGTGCCACTGTTCATCACAGTTTGCTTAAATTGTGAATCCGTCTCACGTATCCCAATTGTCTACTGATCCTAATGAGCTTCTCTCTCAAAGACTTGATGTCCAGGAGGCTAGTCAGGCCATCTCCATGCTTTCTCGACACATTTGAATCAACTACATGCCTCTCTCCTTTCAGCTGCCAAAACCTCTGCCCCCGCTACAGCCATCTACAGGGCAACCATTTACCACGATGGTAGCCTGCATGCTTCACTTGCAGCCTTCTCCATACTTACCTGGGGATCTCAAGTGATGCCGAAGGTTCATTAATCAGAATAATATTCACTTCAAGCTACAGTCACAGAACTTTCTTACAGATCATGCTAAATTTCTTCTGGTGGGGCAGGATTCTTCTTTGTAGAAAAAAACTACCCCTGTATTAATTACTGTGGAGTAAATAACATCAACATCAGTGTGTTTATATACAATAAAATATGTCAGATTAGAATGGTTTGGACTAATACACATTGGTTTAACTATTGTAAATCTGTTTTACAGCCTTAAAGGTCTCAGTCGAAAGATTTAATGAAGAAAATAACAATTTACTGAAATCTTCTAACACCTGCAGACTGCATCTCTTGATACCTTTAAGCTGCAGAATATATGGGGACTTGAAAGAGATAGATGCGAATATAAAATTTGTCAAGGAGATCCCACCACTCTACATTGATCGGGCCGGGATCAAGGGAAGAGTTTTTAAAAACAACGTCTATCGCATTTTGGATGAAGATCACAGGGTATCTGCCATTTTTTTTATATCTATTGAGCATGACTTGAAGATAAGATTATATATACTGTATTTCCATGTTTGCAGACAAATTTGGATAACACCTATTTAATATTTGTTACATGTTTCTCATTCACATAGCATAACGTGAAAATTAAACTACTGTCCAGGGCAAGATTAGAATCTCCTGCACAGATCACTGAGGCCTTCAAAATGAGGAAGTAAGGTTTTTAGCATAGAAGTGAAAAACGGAACCTGGACCGAGTTGGGGGCATACTAGGACAAAAGAGTAACTAAGGTGTCGTTTAAATGTCCTTTCAATAATAAATATCGTTCCTCGGGGTCTCCTATCTCCAGCAACAAGCAAAATGAGACATTTTTAGCAAAGCAAATGGCAACCCCTCTAGTCTTGTCGGAGGCATTGCTCAGGAAAAACTGAGGATAGTATTTGCTAAGAAAGGCAGGTTGATAAGAAATCGGGAAATGAGTTTCCTGAAGGAAGAGAAGGTCCACTCGCTGAGAGTGGTAATATTGAAATGCCATTTTTCTCTTCGCTGGAGAGTTTAGACTCCGAACATTGTGGGAAGCAAATATCAATGGTCTATGTGTAGTCATCATGACCCCAGTTTAAGGTCAAAGCACGAAATAAAGCAGCACAGGTATAGCTCACCACTCCCCAAGATGAGCAAGTTTCCAGATGTTGGACCCCAAGATGAGCAAGTTTCCAGATGTTGGAATATAGGGTGGACCACCCCTGCGGACTCAAAGAATAAACTAAGGAAAAAGAAAGAAGGAAGAAAAGACAAAGGGGACCAACAATACAATACAAGTTAAAAATAAAAAACAACAAAAAAAAAACAACAACAAAAAGATACCCAGACAAACAATTATCCCCTTTAGGCTTATCGGAAAAAATTCCCGACCCTTGTACCGGAGCTCTCAGCATGCTCTCAAATGTGCACATCTACCCGCGGCCATCTTCAATTTCGAATGATACCTCTCTAGCACCTCCTCGAAAATAGTTTTTTACATTGCAGCTTGCACAAAACATGTAAGAGAAATTGTGTGCTGGCTGTGCTGGTAGATCTAATTTTCAGTTGTAAGCTTGATTTTAGCACTGTCTGTCCTAACAAAGCATTAGAGCTCTAAAAGTAGTGTATGATAATAAGGGGGAGTTCAGTCTGTCCTTCTGTGTTTCTATTAGGACAGACAGAGTTTCCTGTTACTGAAATTGGGGAGAAGCTTGCAAAGGCCTGCAAAATAGAGATATTATCCAATTTGAGACAGATCCCCTCTCCGTTTTGACTGACTGGGACTGATTAAACTGATGATCAGTGTACATCAATTCAGGTTACGTCCGTTTTTTGGGACTGATAATACAGCATGGAAAGCTCAATGCATAATAGGAGAAGGCAAAGAATCACGTGGAAAATGTTTAGTTTTTTTCTTTTTATTTCCCCCCACACAGATGGGAGACAAAATGGGACACCCAATCAGGGCCGGATTTGCCACAAGGCCACACCCCTCCCCCCGCACCTACCTCTCTCCTCGCTGGAGATCTTCAGGCTCCGCCCCTCCCTTAAATGTGCCTCTATTCGCCGGCCGGAGATAGTCTCTTCAGGATGGAGAGCAGGGACCAGAACGGAGAACTCCATTCTCTGCTCTGCTCCGTGTAAGCAGTGAGAGGGGAGAGCCTTTCCCTGTGCTAGAACTCCTGTATTGGAGTGAAAGGTTCTGGAAAGAGAACCTGTCACCTCCAAATGCTATCACAGAGGGGCTTGTTAGCTTGTTATAAAAAAAAAAGAAATTAAAAAAAAATTATAAAAAAAGAAATTAAAAAAATTATAAAAAAATTAAAAAAGTAAAAGATTATAAGATAAATAAAAATTAAAAAGTGATAAAAAAGTAAAAACAGAAAAGTAAAGAAAGAATAACAAAAATGAAAACTAACCGTCGCCCCCACCATCTGGTTGCCATTCTCCATTGGGGTGGGGGGTGCATTGAGAAATCTGGCCTTGAGGCAGCAGGGAGAGTAAATTCGGCCCTGCCCCCAGTGAATATTAGTTCCACCAACTGAAAACTTTCCTGTTACTAGTGCTAAAGGGGTGCATTAAAGCGAACCTTTACACTCAAAAATCTAATTTTACCAATGCATCCCTCTATGTATAATGATATAGACATGTAAGGTGTAAAATGCTGTGATTTTGAAATACTTGCAATTGCAGAGTATTCACTTCCTGCTTTGAAAGGGCACAATGACTTCAGTTTGCCACAGCAATGCACACTGAGATTGCTTGTCATCAGCAGAGCATTGCTGGGAAATCTCATCTGTATTCTCATGAGATCTCAGGGAAAGGCATTTTCCTCCCCTGAGATGATGTGCATGGTCACATGTCCTGTGCCAGAAATCCAGGAAGTAAAAGGAGAACTAGTAATCTGCCCTTAGTAAACATTGGCACTGTCAGAAGACTGGGGAAGAAGAGAGAAGTAAGGTATGCAAAGATCACAAAGCCTGAAATTATCTAGAAGTATGTGTTTGTAGATTGTCATGACTAAACATTTCTAAAGGTGTGTTTGTTGATATCTTAAATATATGGGTAGGTCTGCTTTAAATCCTAAACGTTTCATTAGGGATAAATGTTATTTACTTTGGCAGTGATGTGGTAAAGACAGTGATGCCTTCAGGGCCCCATTTTGGCCAACCCAGGTTTTCCCGTGGGGTGTGGTGTACCTCCCTTTCTGTGCTGGAAAGCCACGAACCCTCCTATGTATTCCAAAGCCTGTTTGGAAGTGCCCCAAAGCCGCTAACATCAGTGTTACCCACCACCGCATGCCTCTTGGTTAGCCTACCTTCAGCTCTGACACTTTGTGAAACTTTTGTCATCCTCTGGCAACCTTTATAGGCCCCTCACCCCTTTTGAGAGGCTGTGTGCTGTGGCTCTGTCGTTTCCATCCTGTTTCCACGCTCTATCACTCTTTGATCTCCAAGACTAGTGGGGATTCGTTATACTTTTTCCCGGCCTGGGAGCAGGAACTGGGGATCGTCCTCTTGGAAGATGACCTTTATTTCACACACACCTATACCCCCTGGTCAACGGAATTTCAAGTTGTTGACCAGGTGGTATAGGTCACCAGTTAGAATGCACCAAATCAGCCCAACGCACTCAGACACCTGCTGGAGATGTCAAACTGAGCTAGGCACAATGACCCACATTTGGTGGAGCTGCCCTCTGCTTCTGCTCTTTTGGTGAGCTGTCTCACACATCTACTCGCGAGTGGCCTCTATTGAAATTAATATTACGCCCAAAATGGCTTTACTTTACATCTTCCCGGACTCTATCTCTACAGTGAAGAAATCCCTTCTTAGATTCTTTGTCATTGCTGCCCAAGCTTTAATACCTCGGCTTTGGAATTCCCCTGTTGTTTCCTCTATTATGGAATGGACGGTGGAATTGTGTCGGCTGATGAGATCTGAGGAGCTAATTGCAGAACGGGCTGAACGATCTGATGCCTTTGTGGCCAGATGGATGCCCTGGATTTTGTTCTTGGATTCTGAGGAGTACCGGTCTCTGCAGTGAGTGAGTTTTTTCTATACCTCTGGTACCTCAGTGCCTGCGGCGGTGTTACCGTGGAATGTCTGGTGGTTTCCCCTCTACAAACTGTGGCGGAGGGCAGACACTCCCCCTCCTCCCTTCTTCCTCCGCTTCTCCCTTCCCTCCCTGCCTTCTCTTTATGCTTCTGCTTCTCTCTCTCTTCTCTTCTATGTCTGTCTGTTGTAACATGTTGTTTGTAGTGCCTCGGCCTTCTACTCTCAGGGTTACTCCACTACCAATTCTTTGCCCTAAGCCTTGGAGTGAACCCCCCACCAGGCCAATGTGGGTCTTCAGGGGTGGTGGTGGTGTGACCTACACGGTGGTGGGGACCCGTACACGCCTCACTAAATGGTTTTATTGTGTGTTTAAGACATGGATGATTTACATTTTGTATGGCGGAAGATACATCAGCTTTGAAAAGTTGTTTCTGTGAAACCCTTAATAAAAACTATTCCTGGGAACGTGAATTGGGACATGCAATGACAGTAGAAGATTGGGACAAGGTCTTTCATTTAGTTCTTAAATCTAGTATGGCAGTACAAATGCAGGAAAGAAAATTATTTCAAGATGGTACAAATGCCCTATAACTGTTCACAAGACGAACCCTCAAATATCTAAAATATGTTGGAGATGTGGTCAGGAGGAGGGGACAATGCTACATATTTGGTGGTCATGTCAGCAGATCAGAACGTACTGGAGATCTATACTTAAGATAGGTAGCCATATTACGGGGCTAGATTTATCTGAGACTCCGTAGGTGGCTCTCCTATCATTGCACCATAGGTCAGTAAAAGAATTGAAAAAATTACTAATGTTTCCTATACTGGCAGCAGCGACGGTAGTAATCCCCAGGCACTGGAGGACCTCAAATACCCCTCAGATAGGGGAGTGGTTGGATGAGTTAAATGGAGTAATGCGCCTGGAAGAACTTATGGCCCGTCTCTATGATAGGTATCCGATATTTGTAGATAGATGGATACCAGGGAGGGAGTATACTGGATCCCCAGAGATACTGAAATTTATCATGAATTAGGAGTAACAATAGAAGTCTTGTATACCTATTCCCAGAAGAACAAATGAAAATAGAGTCTTATTAAAGGAGAACTATGAGGTGAATGCTTTTCACTCACCTCATAGTTCTAGCCGACCTGTGACAATGAGACTGTCACAGGTCGGCTCAGTAGATCGGGAGGTGAGCGAACACATACCGGCGTTCGCTCACCTCTCAATCCTGTCATGGCTCTCTGCCGTGGCAGGGGAGGGGCTGGATTCCCCCCTCCCCGCTCCGATCCGCCAGCACTGACTGGCGGAACGGACGGGGGAGGGGGCGGCTACAGCTGGCTCTGCCTCTAGATAGGCAGAGCCAGCTGTCAGTCACGCAGCTGGGCGGATCCCGGCACAATTGTCGGGATCCGCT